CTGGACCTGAACTCCTCGAAGACAGAAGTAGGCAGTCCTTTCGTCATGACGTCGGCGAACTGCTGCGCCGTCGGGACGAGGAGGACCCGGATGCGCCCAAGAGCCATCTGCTCACGAACGAAGTGTATATCGAGCTAAATGTGCTTCGTTCGACGATGATGAACCGGGTTGGCGGAGAGGTAGACGGCGGAGACGTTGTCGCAGTAGACGAGCGTGGCCTTGTGAACATCACAAAGCAACTCCTGGAGCAGCTGACGGAGCCAAGAGCATTCAGCAACGGCGTTAGCCACTGCTCGATACTAAGCCTCGACACTCGAGCGGGACACGGTGGGCTGTCGCTTGGAGGACCAAGATATCAGGGACGGCCCAAGGTAGACACAGTACCCCGAGGTGGAGCACCGTGTGTCCGGGCAGCCAGCCCAGTCCGCATCAGAGTAGGCGACGAGGTCGGTGGAGGTGGAGGCCGTCAGCGTAAGTCCCAAGGACTGGGTGCCGCGTATATATCGGAGGATACGCTTCATCAAAGTCCAGTGAGAGTCGGGCGGAGCATGCATGTGAAGACAGACCTGCTGAACGGCATACTGCAAGTCGGGGCGCGTCAGGGTCAGATACTGCAGGGCGCCCACAATGGAGCGGTAGAAAGCTGCATCAGATGCAGGCGAACCCTCCAAAGCGGAGACCTTGGCCTTGGTGTCGACAGGCGTGGGAGCGGGCTTGCAGTTAAGCATGCCAGCTCGATCAAGAAGTTCATGGGCATAACGCTGCTGATGCAGGAAAAACCCATCTGGCCGTCGAACCACCTCAATGCCAAGGAAGTAATGGAGAAGACCCAAGTCCTTCAGGGCAAACTCATCACGAAGACGAGCAGTGAGCCGCTCGAGGAGCACGACAGTGGATGCCGTCAGGATGATGTCGTCGACGTATAGCAGCAAGTAGGCCGTGTCAACTCCGTGATGATACACGAAGAGGGACGCATCGGAGCGAGTCGATGTAAATCCGAGCATCTAGGAAGGCGGCGATGCGCTGGTACCAGGCTCGAGGTGCCTGCTTCAACCCGTAAAGTGAACGGGAGAGCAAGCACACATGGTCTGGATGCGTGGCGTCGACGAAGCCGGTGGGCTGCTCACAGAATACCTTCTCAGCCAGGTGGCCGTGCAAGAAGGCATTGGACACGTCCAACTGATGCACAGGACATGCTCGGGACACGGCTAGCTGGAGCACGGCGCGGATCGTGCCCGGTTTAACAACCGGGGCAAATGTGTCGGTGAAGTCCACGTCCGCGCGTTGCCGGAAACCCCGAACCATCCAGCGAGCTTTGCAGAGCTCGAGAGTGCCATCCGGACGAGTCTTGTGCCGAAAGACCCACTTGCCCGTGATGATGTTGGCACTGGGCGGCCGAGGGACGAGCTGCCAGGTACGGTTCCGCTGGAGCGCGTCGAACTCTTCCTGCATCGCAGCGAGCCAATGAGGATCCCGAAGGGCGGCTCGAGCTGACGATGAGAGAGGAGACGGCTCAGAGGCGGAAGCTGTTGGGGAACGTTGCAGAAAATAAAAATTTTCTACGCTTCACCAAGATCAATCTATGGAGTCATCTAGCAACGAGAGAGAGAGGAGTGCATCTACATACCCTTGTAGATCGCGAGCGGAAGCGTTCAAGAGAACGGGGTTGAGGGAGTCGTACTCGTCGTGATCCAAATCACCGAAGATCCTAGTGCTGAACGGACAGCACCTCCTTGTTCAACACACGTATAGTTGGGAAGACGTCTCTGATACGTCTCCAACGTATCTATAATTTATGAAGCATTCATGCTATATTACCATATGTTTTGAATGATTTTGGGCTATATTATCCACTTCTATATTATTTTTGGGACTAACCTATTTACCGGAGGCCCAGCCCAGATTTGCTGTTTTATGCCTATTTCAGTGTTTTGAGGAAAAGGAATATCAGACGGAGTCAAAACAGAACGAAATCAACTAGAGAAGTTATTTTTGGAAGGAAACCTACCAGATAGACTTGGACCCTACGTCAGGAGATGAGGGAGGTGCTCACGAGGGTGGGGGGCGCGCCCACCCCCCTGGGCGCGCCCCCCTGCCTCATGGGACCCCCGTAGCTCCACCGACGTACTTCCTGCACCCATATATACCTATGTACCCAAAAACTTCCAGAACAGAACCTAGATCGGGAGTTCCGCCGCCGCAAGCCTCTGTAGCCACCAAAAACCAATCGGAACCCTGTTCCGGCACCCTGCCGGAGGGGGATCCCATCACCGGAGGCCATCTTCATCATCCCGGCGCTATCCATGACGAGGAGGGAGTGTTCACCCTCGGGGCTGAGGGTATGTACTAGTAGCTATGTGTTTGATCTCTCTCTCTCTCGTGTTCTCTCTCGTGTTCCTCTGTGGCATGATCTTGATGTATCCCGAGCTTTGCTATTGTAGTTGGATCTTATGATGTTTCTCCCCCTCTACTCTCTTGTGATGATTTGAGTTTCCCCTTTGAAGTTATCTTATCGGATTGAGTCTTTTATGAGAACACTTGATGTATGTCTTGCGTGGGATAACCATGGTGACAATGGGTTATTCTATTGATCCACTTGATGTATGTTTTGGTGATCAACTTGCGGGTTTCGTGACATTGGGAACCTATGCATAGGGGTTGGCACACGTTCTTGACTCTCCGGTAGTAGCTTTGGGGCACTCTTTGAAGTACTTTTATGTTGGTTGGATGAATCTAAGATTGTGTGACGCATATCGTATAATCATGCCCACGGATACTTGAGGTGACAATGGAGTATCTAGGTGACATTAGGGTTTTGGTTGATTTGTGTCTTAAGGTGTTATTCTAGTACGAACTCTTTTATAGATTGATCCGAAAGAATAACTTTGAGGTGGTTTCGTACCCTACCATAATCTCTATGTTTGTTCT